CTTTCATTGCAAGCATTTTCAATTTATCTTTGAGTCATTCCATGAAAATGGCACAATTTGAGTCCCTCTCACCTCTTATGGTGTATTTCATCTATTGGGTCACCAAACTTTCCATTTAAACAGCTTTACATATATATTAAAATGTATCCTTTAATACAGTGTAAAAAAAACTGAACTAATTTTTATCATTTTCTGGGAAATAATACAGTTTTTTCATTTGACACTACCTATTTTGTCATGTGCCTCATGGCCTTGATGAAAGTTTACTTTGAAAATACCAAATAAAACTATTTAAAAAGTCAATAAATTTTGGTATCAACCTAAACATCTATTTGTGCTCTTTTGCTGTTAATATTTCTTTTCTTTTTTTTCAAATTTAATTGTTAATTATTCAATAAAATCACAATTATTCCTGTACCTGACTAACCCTTCAACCCCGTTACATGAATGATCCCACCCCCATAAATACAATGGTGTGATCCAGAATTCCATATACATCAGGAAGTGACATCACTGAAGTCTTTTGGACAACAGGACCACAGAGACGGGCAAGTTGCTCCATTCTTTTCCTTTTTTTAGTCATTTATCTTGTGATATTGTGGTCGTCAACCTCAATGACTCAACACCGTAACATGAAAAAAAGAAAACTATTACTTATGAAAAAGTTTTTTGTTAGTTCATGAATATATGGTGATTTTGAATTTCATGCATGCCACGTGTTCTCTGTCTGGTATTCACTATATTGAGCAGCGGCCAGTTTGTGCAAAAATCTCAACCACACTCAACCCTGTTATGTTTTTGATTGTAACGGGGTTGAGATTTTAATACTTTGGTTGTTAAGTTATCCAATTCTTTAAATTAGTTATTATTATATTCAATCACCATTCTTATGATGCATGCATGCTGAATATGATTTATGTTCCATGTTAAGGATGCGAGTAAGATGGCACCAACAACAGCAGCAGAAAGGCAAAGGAAGTATCGGGAACGCCTTAAAGCTGATCCTGAAAGAAGGGAGAGAAACC